GAGTCATACAAGTACCTTTGTACGCTGATCAGTGCAATATGAGACCAGGCCACCGAAATCCGATCAATGATCGAAAGAGCTCGAGCATCGTTCAACAACATGAAGGGTGTATTCACAAGCAAGGATCTATCCCCGCCTCTTTAATTAAGGTTGGATTTAATGCTATGTGTTCCCAATTCTGCTCTACGGAGCAGAAGCATGGACATGGACAAATAATGAAACATCAAAAATATCACCTACTCCAGTTAATAGCTCAAGGAAGAATCAACAGTAAAAGAGGACCAGGAAGGAGAAGACACTCACTCATGGCTGCAAAATCTACGCCAGTGGTTTGGACTTACATCTATACAGCTATTTAGAAATGCCGTCAATAAAATTAAAATTGCCATGTTGATAGCCAACGTCCGCGACGGATAAGGCACGCCAAGAAGAAGATATTTATATTATAAAGTAGATAAATTATTATATTAAGATTAGAGATTAGGCGAATCTGGCCTTGTAAAACCTAATCTAAAGGAAAGCAAAGCTGACCAGTTGGTTAAACCAGCGCCATAAAACAAAAAGAAAAAAAAAAGCTATTGGTGTTTGGGCAAGAACGAGAAGCATTAGAAACAAAATGTATCAGCCTGTTTTAAAGAGGCTTCTGGTAAACAAGTGGCAGTCATCATAGATTGCTTCGATGTTGTTACTGCTGATCGGGGTTGGTCAAATTATGAACACCATCAAACAGTAAAACTTCTTATTGGCATTACTCCTCAAGGTGCAATATCTTATATATCTGAGACCTGGGGCGGCAGGAGCAGTGATAAGTTTTTAACATAGAATTTCATTTTTTTAGTTAATTTCACCTGGAGATATAATCCTGGTCGATAGGGGATCTTTAATTTAAAATTCTGCAAACTGCAGCGTCTCACATTTACTCGTATATTTATGAATATTCCCACGGCGAACATAACAAAAACTATAAAAATGATCAGTTTATTAAGCAAATAATATACAGTACATCACAGTCAATATACCAAGAAGAAAGCTTGCGCAATTGGTCTGAGCAGCTCCAACGTATGCGGTATCTGCACTATTATTTCGGTTATAGTTTGAATTATCAACAACCCAATCCATAAATTGACCCACATTGGTATATACTCCCGGAAAGCCGGCTCTGGCGCAACCAGCTCCAAAACTAACCACTCCAATTAGTTTGTTCTTTTGAACTAGTGGACCTCCACTATCACCCTAAAAATCCATTGCCGTAAATATGACGCAAACTTTTAAAACCAAAACTATGAAATTATATATACAGGGTGGCTCATTTAGACAAATGCTGTATAATTGCTGGGGGAACCCGAAGGTGATATCAACTTTTTTATAGATGGCGCTGTTAACGTCAGGTGGGGACAACAATTTTATCAATGTAGTGGTATATTTTTACTATAAAATACGATTCAGTATCTACTTATAAATGAAAAATAATCAAGGCACATATAGGGTGATTCAAAATTGGCGTCATTCCTCTGGAGGTTTTGTCTGGGGGTGTCTTGGGAGTACAGAAAAAATAATTTAAACAAATTAAATGTTATTAAAAACTCAAATATTTGCAAAAAACTAGACAAAAAGGTGCCAAACTTGAATATTTTAAATCCGAATCTAACAGTATGCTGCTTTGGATGTATAGAAGCGTGAGCGTTCAGTCATTGAACTTCAGGTTTTGAAATTCAAAGACTAACAGCTTCCAAAGTGTGCGAGAATCTGCCATGATTTTGTGGTTTTCTGTGTCGCAAGTTTGTATCCTCATTTTGTGCAGTTTGTGTTGGTTTCAGGTGGTTTATGTACACCTTTTACTACACCCGATTTTGGCGTGTCTTCATATTGTCTATGCTTTCGATCTTGATTCTGATATGGAACGGTCAGTTAGTTTCTCCAACGTAGGACGCGCCAGTTTTGCAGCGAATTCAATAACTGCAATCTTAACTTCCTGCTCAACTTAATAACTTCCTGATCATTTATCTGCAGAAAATGTTGGTTGACTTGACGTGCAGGTAAGTATACATGTAAAACATGTACTTCAGGGTCACCTCAAGTTTTTCAAGTAGATTCAATATATAATTTAAAAAGTTTGTTGAGTTACTTGATTGCGGTTGACGGTTTACCTGACAGGCGTCTTTTCCTCCTTTCGAATATCCAGCACAAATCATATTTTTAGTTATATTGATGACATTGGCATAGGATTTTTGGCATTCTGATTCAGAGGTCAGCGGTACGTTGGCACCACGCAGCACATCTGAAATGGTTCCATTTTCCTACGGGCATTAAAAATATTTTTTTTACCTAACCTCAATAACTCTGATAATGACTACATATATATTCTCAAAATAATTATACTTTGATCAACATCAACAACAATTTCTATTGTGTAACTTGACAGTGAACATCAGCTCAAATAGCAGCGATGTCCACTTGTTCTGCTACCCAATCATGTAGTGCTTGACAAGATTGTACTTGAGACTCACAAGAAATGGTGTCATGTCGACTCACAAGATATGTTGACTCTTGTCGGTAAATAATTTTCGATTTTAGTGGTAAGTGGTGTGCACCAAGCAATATATCAAGGGATTTGGTATGCAAAACCCGATCAAGCAAACCATTTGCAGCAGCTGTTTCTCAGTTACCTCTAGACCGAGATACGTTATATCACCAGAGTTTATGGACACCGACAATTTGGATTCTGACAGAATACCATTCTTTATTTAAATCAACATAGTTACTTACACGTTCGTATCCCCAGCCAGTAACCGATGCGTAACTACCAGGTGAATAACTGGATAACTCCGATATTCTGATTAAGGCTACTGAATTAGATATTGTAACATTTGATTTCAACTGAAACAAAAATAGAAGATTTAATCTTCGGCTAAACGAATATCGACATTACTACGATACAAGCAACAATCAGGTTAAATATACACAGGAGACGCTCCCATTTGATATAAAGCATTTGCCCAGTAGACAAGAAGTGTTACCACTAATAAATATACAGGGTTATTCACGCTATACGGCACGGACGTTTGCGGCTAGCCCGTTTGTTTTTTGCAAAGTATTATTTGATCAATACACAGACGCCTATCGGGCGCACATTTTAAAAATATTTTTGTAATGTACAGTGTCCCAAAAGCCCTAAAATGATCAAAGTTGTGTTTTTCTAAATAAAATACCCTATATATTATGGAATTTTTGGATTCTCTGAGCAAAATGAGTGTGTTTTAATAAGATTTATAAAGTCTAAATCTAAGAGTTTTTTAAATAATTCGAATTTTATCAAAAGCTAATATTATTTTCATGTGTCAAATACTTTAGAATTATTTAAGTTTAAACTTTAACTTTAGAAATAAACGTAATTCGTAGTGTAACAAGAAATCATATTTTATATCCCAATGATAGTAAACTTACCATTTTATACAGGGTGTCCACAAATTTAAACTAATCAAATAAGAACTTTAAGTGGCTATAACTTGATTAATTTAAATACAACCCGATAATTTTTAGGTTACCAGGAAATGCAATTTTTAATTACCTATCGAATGGTACTAGGATGTTTATAACTAAGTTTTTGGATTTTTACAAAATACACCAAATAATGGTTCTGTGCACCATTTGGTGTTTTTTTTTT